AAAAAATAACCTAACAGTTGCTATATAAACAGACTAATTAGTTATGTGTATATATATAGTTATATATATATATATATATATATATGTGTATTTATACATATGTATGTATGTGTGTGTGTGTGTGTGTACAGAAACAAATGTGGATTTATATTTTATTGATTTTTAGTTTTCTTATTTAAAACTTAAGTTTTAGAAGAATCTGTAAAAGAGTTGTTTTTTAAATGTAAAGGGTATTGTAGGATATGTGCATATTTGGTATCAGAGCATTGTGGGAAGTGTGCATATTTAGTGTCGGGGCATCATAGGATGTGTGCATATTTAGTGTCGGGGTATCGTAGGATGTGTGAATGTTTTGCATCGTAAGATGTGTGAATGTTTTGCATCGTAGGATGTGTGAATGTTTTGTATAGGAGCATTGTAGGATGTGTGAATGATTTGTATTGGAGCATTGTAGGATGTGTGAATGATTTGTATTGGAGCATTGTAGGATGTGTGAATGATTTGTATTGGAGCATTGTAGGATGTGTGAATGATTTGTATCGGAGCATTGTAGGATGTGTGAATGTTTTGTATCGGAGCATTGTAGGATGACTGAATGTTTTGTATCAGGGCATCGTAGGATGAGTGAATGTTTTGTATCAGAGCATTGTAGGATGAGTGAATGTTTTGTATCGGAGCATTGTAGGATGACTGAATGTTTTGTATCAAAGCATTGTAGGATGACTGAATGTTTTGTATCAGAGCATTGTAGGATGACTGAATGTTTTGTATCGGAGCATTGTAGGATGACTGAATGTTTTGTATCAGGGCATCGTAGGATGAGTGAATGTTTTGTATCGGAGCGTTGTAGGATGTGTCCTTGCTTTGTATCAGGGCATCGTAGGATGTGTGAATGTTTTGTATCGGGGCATTGTTGGATGTGTCCTTGTTTTTGTATTGGGGCATTGTTGGATGTGTCCTTGTTTTGTATTGGGGCATTGTTGGATGTGTCCTTGTTTTGTATCTGGGCATTGTTCGATATGTCCTTGTTTTGTATCGGGGCATTGTTGGACGTGTCCTTGTTTTGTATTGGGGCATTGTTGGATGTGTCCTTGTTTTGTATCGGGGCATCGTAGGATGTGTGGATGTTTTGTATTGGGGCATTGTTGGATGTGTCCTTGTTTTGTATTGGGGCGTTGTTGGATGTGTCCTTGTTTTGTATCTGGGCATTGTTCGATGTGTCCTTGTTTTGTATCGGGGCATTGTTGGACGTGTCCTTGTTTTGTATCGGGGCATTGTTGGACGTGTC